TTAATAGAAAGGACAAAGATAAATTGCAGGAAGTCTAAAGCTGCACAAAAAGCATATTCATGCAACAACCTTACCCATAATTACATGCTCATAGCTCTCCCCGCCTAAACAAAGAATTGAGACCATACCCCTATACGAAGAAGATTAAGTTGACGTAAACGTTTCCTCCTAATTTAAAACTAATTGCAATAATGCATGGAAAGTCAACACCGTTGGTGTTGTTGATGACAACAATGATGATAACAAATGAGTTATGTGGATAGCTGACGGTTCAAATTTTTTAATTTAGATAGAGAGTTATATTCGATAATTATATGTTCATTGGTTGGTGTTCGTGTACTTTGCTTTCATAAGTTGGAGAGGAGCGAAAAAGGGCCAAAGGTGATCGAGATATGTTTCATATCATTCTCTCGATCTTAGTTGAGAGTTTTTATAGTGACTTTTAATGTTAGTGTCATATATATATATATGGTTATTATAGCTACTTATAGGTTGACAGACTCCACATATATAGGTGGCTAACAATATTTTAGCTTTGATAGATCATGTGGGTATACCAAATATCGTATCAAAAGATCGCGACTTTCTAAGAAGTGCACAACTCTTTAATTGTGTATGAAGATATGGGTCTTTATTCTTAGAATTTTTTCAAAAGACTTAGACATGTAGAGATCAATTGTGCTAAAGGAATTTAAAAAAGTATAATATTGTCTTCATAGTTAGAGAAGATTATAAAGTGATTTGATCTAAGATTTATCCATTAAAATACTACAGAGATTAGATAAACCGCTTTTGAGAAAAAAATATCATTCCCAATAATTATAAAACAAAAACATGTGAGAACCATGGAAAGAGAGCGTGCCTGGTGATATTATTTGGAAATTAGCCATCTATCTACGTAGTGTGAAAATGGGAGTAAAAAAATGGTATAATTAGATTAGTATCCTACACAATTTCTAAGTAAGTAATGAAATCAAAAGATAATTTGGTTCATCCTACTTCAATCATAAACTTTACTCGAATCGAAACAATATCTGATTCTCTGCATAAATGGTATATACGCATTTCTTCATAATTTCTTGTATGGGTACTAATAAAGTTATTTTTTTGTTCTCTTTTCTTTTTGGATAATTCAATTTTATTACCTAACGAATCAAGAATTGCTACAAAAATAACTGATCGCAAAAATCATATGTACACCATACTTACAAGACAAAAGATCGGTTAATCAATACCCCAAGAATTATATAGGAAAATATTGATACTATTAGACATATTAATATTAACCCCCCTCAGTTTGGTAGAAACAAAATATTTGATACAAGCAAAAAGGTCGTCAGCAATCCTTGTACATCCTTGAAAAATTCGTCTATTGCGTTCCTCCCATAGTACATAGATTTTGGCACAGCAAGCAATCTTTAAAATGGTTGAGAGAAGAGATTTGCCTTTCCAGTTATTGTTTGCCCATGTGATCATGTCTTCCCAGGTTGAAAATGGTTTCTTTAACCCATTATGAAGCAATATTGAGTCCCATAAATTAGCAGCCAATGGACAATCAACGAATAGGTGAGACCGAGTTTCCATCATTCCGTTGCAAAGCACACAATTCCCCAAAATGGTAATTCTCATCCGCAAAAGTCGATCCCGGGTCGAGAGTCGATCAAGAATAGCCATCCATGCTATAATACTATGTTTCAGAATATGATAAGGGTACCAAATCAAAGGGTGCCATTTTACTTTGTCTCCATTCAATCTAATTTCCAGCCAAATATGTTTGATGGTGATAGATCTCTTTTCAGTGTTGACTAAAACGAGAAATTTTCAACATATATGGTTAAGGTATTACTATTATTCATTCAGACTTCAAGTTTGAATATTATGTATATCAAATATATGAATGTCTGTTATCAAATGGTTGAAAGTCTTTAAACATATATTATCTTATATTCATATCATATTTATAAAAAAAATGTATCATTATTTATTTTCAATCCACTTAAAATATGAACTAAATAAATATAAAAAATATTTATAAAAACTATAAAATAATTATCTTTTGAATTTTCATCTTATATACGATATTATCTTAGCTGTTGTTTTTTTATGAATAATTATTTCTTTAAATAAAATTTATATTATTGATGTTATTTAATTGGTTAACTAAAATTTAAAAATATTTTGATGAGAAAAAAATCGGGGGCGTAGCCGCGCCATTAAAGGTGGCCTAATTTTAAAATTCTAAAAATCCAATAAAATGCATAAAAATGGAACAGCTTATCGCCCACTCCCACGACGTGATGATTAGTTTGGAGGCAGCGACGTGCACTGGAAATAAAATATTTGGGGGTTGGAATTCCATTGTGCGTTTAAAGATCAACTTTCTGGATATTTCTTATTCTTCAAATCTTTTCGCCGAAAATATCAGCGTTTCATTTGTTTATTTGAAACAACAACAGTGCTGTTGCATTTCATGCGTCGCCGTGGAAGTTAGTGGAGAGCATGATTATGAAAAATAGTAGAGCTAAAACCATCAATTCAACGACCTTAAACTTTATCACTTCCTTCTGGTGATCCAGCTTGCCGGTAGGTTGAAGAAGCACTTGGAAAATGGGCTGGGATTACCAGAAACTCCCACAGAATTCGATAAAGATCTTTCTTGTTTGTTTTGATAGTGTTTTTTAGTTCAAATTAAATAAATTTAGTGATTAAAGAGATAATTGTTATTCTAGAGGTTTTAGATTCGAGCACGTTATTTGTGGAGGTGTTTAAATTTTCATTACCAAATGGTAGAGAATCTTTCGAAAAGTATTACCTTGTGATCATTATAAACTAATAAAGAAAATATGGTAAAGTACACAAATGATCTCTGATTATAGAGTATTACTTTGTCGAATCCCCTAATTATTAAAAATTATAAAATGATCTTTCGACTATATGATGTTATTTTATTGAGTCTCTCAACTATTAAAAGTTATAACATGGTCATTCGACTATTCATATGTTCAAAACTCGTATTTTTCCGTTAAAACATTGACATTCGTTTGATCTAGAAGTTAACCTACTAATTAGGTTATGATAAAATTTATATTTTAATGATGTCTACTGAAACCGCCATTGCTTTCAAACACTGGCTAAACGATATAATAAAATTAGAGATTTATTTACACAAGATACAACTAGAACGATTTTGAGATCATATTTTATCATATCTCAATCAATAAGTTAACATTCGGCTCAGAAGATCACAAATTTTTAACAAAAAATGACAAGTATGAATAGTCGATGAGTATTTTATAACTTTTAATAGTCGAAAAACTTAATAAAACATCTTATAATTAAAGAATTATTTTATAACTTTTAATAGTTAAAAGACTCAACAAAACTACCCCTCTAACCTAAAAACTATTTTATAACTTTTAATTATCGATAAATTTAATAAAATAAGGCCTATATTCAGACATTATTTATGTAATTCACTCAAAAATTATAATACCCAATTTTAATTTCCAACAGAAATAAAATCGTCTTGCTCTGTTCAGTCTGTCTAACATTGTTTGGACTCAATTGAACAAAGTTAGAGACCAAAGGCTGGTTAATTTTCGAATCAACCCACTTGATAGATTTTGGGTCAATTATGAAAATTTAAATGGGCTGTGAAACCAACAATCCATTGATATTATTCAACTTATCTTCGCATATTTTTGCGTAAAGATATATAATTATAAATGAATAATATACGAATTGTTTACAATAATTTATAGAATGATTTGTTATTTTTTTACCCTAGTCAATATGATATAATAATAGATATGTATAAAATTTTATGTCAGGAATATGCATATTTATAAAGTTGTATTAAAAATTTAAAATATTAAAGTATAAATTTTCAAAATACACGAAAATGAATAATCAATATAAAATATAATATCAATATTTAAATTAATACAAAAATTTAACTTTTTTTTAAGGAAAATACTATATGATATGTCGGCGGGCTCTTATACTTCACTTTATATCCTTAAAAGTATCGTGGTTGAAAATTATATGTGATTCTCTTCTCTGAGAATAATGAATTCTTATAATATTTTTTATTATTTAGTTAGATTTAATTTTTAATCTGTTCACGTGCATATGAAAATATAATAAAACGTAAGAGTAATTAACTTTACATTTATATAAATGGTAAATATAATTTATATTCCACTGAATGAAGAAATTCAACATAGAAGTCTGTATTGTTTTATATATATCAAATCAACTTTTTATTCTTTGATTTTGTATAATCAGCGTTGACATCAATTTTGATATTAATTGTTGACTGTCGGTTCCTTTTTTCTTTGTTTATTTTTTTAGTTTTCTAATAAGAATCATTTTGCCTTTATGATATATTTTTTCTATCTTTGTGGCATATTTTTTTTTTGTATTTATGGAACTTTTTTCGTTTTTTATCGATCGTCTAACCATTTCTTTTTATTTATATATTTTTTCAGGGTTAGATTTGACGATGTCACGACTAATCAAGATGTCGCTTATATGATATCTTATTGATCTTTTCTGCTATGGATTCTTTGAATGAGTTTGGATACACAATTTTATATTCGTAGATAGTTTCTGACGTCGTTTGGTTTGCGATTCTCGGTGGGTTTTCAATAGTTTTATCCCCTTTTGTGGGTCGTTTGTCGATACAATTAGATTTATTTGTGTATTTTTTTTCGTTTGAGACTTTTGATTGTGTTTTTAATTTTTTTTCCATGCATGGTCCTTATATGATCTAAAGTGGTTAGTTTTAATATTATAGGTAAATGTTAAAATTATGTATTTAGTTTACGATGACAGTTTCGTATTGTAATTTTAGATATTGTTGACTTTTTTATATGACTAACCTCTTCTATTAAAGAAAAAAATAGAAATAGAAATTATTTTAATAGTTACAAAGATGAAATGAAATTAACAAAAGAAAGAAAAAATTGAAAATGAAGGTAAAAACCCGTTGTTTGTTTTTACCAAGGAGCAGCAGTTTCACATGAAGTCAACAGTTGTTCCAAGTAATCAGCTCCTAGATCCTCAAGCACCAACATGTTTTGCTGTTGCCTTGCGACAGCAACGCTTTGCTTGCTTTTCTTGTTCTTGGATCTTTTCCTCAAGCAATACCGCTGCTTGAGAGCCACAACTGGCGAGCAACCCTTGTTGTCCTCATCGCATTGATACTTGATTGCCTGAAGCGATTCCCTCACGGTTTCAATGGGGAAATTGAGAGTAGCAAACGCTCCTTTCATCGAAAACGCCGCTTGATCGTAAGCCAAAGCGGCTGCCTCGGCGCTGTCGAATGTTCCGAGCCAAACCCTAGCACCATTCCTTGTTGAATCCCTTATCTCAGCTGCGAATTTTCCCCATGGCCTTTTCCTCACCCCTCTGAAACTCTTCACTTTCTTCGGTTCTTCGTGTCCATGATCGCCACCGGAGCTAACCACTTCCTCCTTCATGCCGTCGATGGAGGAGTTATTGTTGGACTCTGAGGATTCTTTAGGTCTCTCTTCTTCTCCCAATAAACCCATCGAAACCATTTCTTCAGAGTTATCGAAGCTGAGAAGAATCTCATCCCAGGCCCGGCCGCTAGAAAATGGCTCCGCCGGCGTCGGCCATCCAAACGATGATTCTGGGATAATGCTGTATTATTTGAGTACTGAAACAACCAAGACTCCTCCATGTCTGGGTGATTGCTCTCTTATAAGCAGTATGCTTTAAGACTTTTTTTAGGACCAGGTTGTTTTGTTTGTTTTCTCTTGTTGACGATTCACAAACTAGGTTTTGTTTCACATCATTTGAAGTACCTGACGCTCTATTTATATCAGATTTTCACATATTGGACAAAAACACAATAAAAAACATTAATCAAAAGTTCCTAAAAATAGCATCACAGTGAAAAAAAATTATTTAATCAATCATGTATTCATTTATTCGTTATAAAATTTGAGAATGGACTGGATTATTTCGATCTGAATCTTAATTTTTTACGCTAATTAATAATTTTGTCATTTTAATTCTAATTAAATTTATATTTTAATCATTAAAAACAATATATATATATATTAGTTTTGGTTTAAATGATAGAACTTTTTTATATATCTTAAAATTTAGTTTGTTAAAATTTTGAGTTAATGATATAAATTATTTTAAATTGCTCACAGATGAAGTGAGAAGCTTTAATTACTAAATATATGAAATATATGTGAATGAAATGAACAGCTTTAATTACTAAATAATTGTAACAAAATATAAATATATTTTATTAATGGAACAAGTTGGTATGTCTATAATAACAAAAAAATTCAAAATGACGTACGGCGGCGGGAGAATGATGTATTTGCAATGTTTAACCTCGATTTTTCTTTTGATTTTTTATCTACGTGGCAGTCACTTGTCTGTATAATAATGTAAAGGAATTTATTAGACTAACCAAAAAATATTGTTAATGTCCATTTACTTGTATTTTTTATTATGTCCACGGTAAATTAAAAGAAATAAAATCTATGACAAACTCACAATGCAAACAATGATTTAATAATGGGTCACCCAAATCTATTAAATCCATGATCAATATGAAAAGTGAAGACGCAAACTGAAGTTAATAGGATTCTTCGGTAACGTGAGAAGAGCGTGGTCCCCACGCCCCCTTCACCATAAGTTGAGGAAGCTTTATTAATTTTAGTACATGATAAAATAATGTCCCGACAGCGCACACACAACTCAAGGATCCAGAAATGGATTCATCGTACATGGTCACTTCCTGATCCTTAATCCTAGGTTAACATTATAAGAAAATTTTAGTCATCAAAACTTATTTCTTTATTAATTAAGCCCTCGATCACCACTTGACTCCTTTAGATTTCCTTCCAGAAACGATAAACTTATTTATTCTACCACCCACGCGCCGCGGCCTTCGGCGAACATGATTCACTTTTGGTATAAAATTAAATTATACATAATGTCGTTTTTAAATGAAAACTATAATTGATATCAATTTTATAATTAATTATCAGTTGATTTAATAAATTAGGGACGTGCATATATAGGTGATCAGTTTGTATATTTTTATTACTTTGATTTGAAAATTAAATTTTTTTATTTTAATTTGTCTCGATAACAGATGATATTTTATTTGTTTTTGAATTCGTTCTAAATCTTAGGATAAAACATATCACTATATGGCACAAATAATTTTTTCTTTCATTTGTATTGAGCAAGATAAAGAAACTATTGAAAAATATGTAGAGATTGGAGTAATATAGTAATTATTATTAAATATATATAGAAAATTATAATAATTATATCGGTCGAGTTCATTAAAAATAATCTTAACTTGACATCATTTCAACCTTGATTCACTCATTCATAAAATTAGTCTTAAATTCAAATTTAAAAAGTTATCAAGTCAAGATCAATTCAAAAATTGTCAAATCTGAGTAATTTGATCACCCCTAAGTAGGATGAGATGTTAAATCTATTAAGTAATGTCAAATGTTCAAATACTAATATTGTGAATGGATAAACCTGGATTAGAAGAATCATCCCATAATAACTTTTTAGTGATGAGTCTAGAGTGCACGTCACACACCGAAATGCACCACTAATATGATACACTGATGCGCACCTTATTACATAAATATTAAAAAATATAAAGACATGTTCACAATCGTATTCATCATTGAAAAATTGTGTTACTTACCTGTGGTTATGTAATGTTATCCCCACTAGGCTCTTCCCAAGATCATGTAAATCTTTTCAAAGCTGCATATTAGTTTATTCAGTTGCTTAAGGAATTATTGATCATTTTTCGATTTATATGTAATTAGAGCTCCTGTTTTGATCAATGTTACACACTTATAGATTCATCCTATACAAATACAAAGTCTTCAGCTCTTCTCATTGGAATTAGTTTCGGAAGTGATTTTGTGTATTTACCACCAATGATGGCAAAACCCGATGATTTAGGCAATTTGAAGTCATTGTTTACATATGAAGAATTAACCGTGGCTACACATATATTTTTTAGACCGTAATCTTTTGGGTGAAGGCAAATTTGGGTTTATTTATAAAAGTTGCTTACAAGATGGAAGATGGGTGGTTGTAAAGCAGTTAAAAATTGGTGGGGACTGGGTGACAGAGAAATTAAAGTCGAGGATGAAGAACATGATCTTCCGACGATGAATAGGATCATTGACGGTTGATTCTGATGATTGTTGTTGGGATGAATATATAAATTTATATAAATTAAGTGTTCCAATCATAAACAAATAAAAAATTCTCAAAATAATTATACTTTTTAATAAAAATATAATTTAATTATATTCATATTAAAATTAAAATTAAATAATAATAAAGGATTAATTATGGATAGATAATTATATATTTTTTTCATATTTATGTAATAAAGACAATTTAGTTAGTGGTGTGCATCGGTATGCCACATTAGTTATGTGTTTCGGTATACGACGTACATCCTAGAATTTTTCCTTTTTCAGTATATAATTCTAATTAATCGGTCGATTAATTGAATATAAATAATTATATAAAATATTTTCAGACCATTTTATTATACCACATCGACAGTGATTATCATTTTTCAAAGTTGCTTCTAATTTTTTTTAAAATCACTTTAAGAAATAAATGATAGTCTGCATACCACTTAATTATTATGGGTCATTTGTTAAGTTTAGAGGTCATTTGTTATATTAAACAGTTTATTAATTCAATGGTGACTAATTGTAATTAATGCATTATCGATTTCCCGAGCCAAATCTAATGACAATACACTTGTTAATTCAGTGGTGAGAGGCTGATATATTACAGACGTGGCATCTCGGTTGGTGAAGTAATTGCTGATTGATTGGGATGGGGCTGTCGCTGAGCGCCGGCCGGCGGGGAAAATTTTGTATTTCAGTTATTTTAGGGCCATGGCACGGTGCATGAACCTCCAGTGGATGAGCGTAGATTCGCTGGGAGCTTAGCTAATCAATCCTGTTTAATTATACCTGCTACGATCCAAAACCAATATAATAATGGTATTTTAAGTAGTCTGAATATTATGATTAAAAGTATAATTTAAATTTTACACTATAAAACAAAGTAATTTAATTTTTATATAATTTTTATCTTATACGTCTGCGTTTGAAAAAAAAATACAAGTAGAGTTTTATTGGGTTAAGTTTAAGGCCTGGAATTAAGATTTATGGTTTAATGTTTAAATTCGGAAGTAGAGTTTAAAATTTAGAGATTAATATTTAGATTTTAAAATTTGATTTATTTGTAAATAAGATATACGTTAAAGATAAAGACAAATATAATTATCATATAATAAAATAGTCATAAAAATTTATGTGAAAATTATTTTGGGAAAAGTTATGGGCATAAGAGAAAACTTTCATTTATATAAAAAATAGAAGAATATAAGAGAAATCATTATAAACAATTTTTTTAACTGTAATTTTAGTATATATCTAGAAGGATAGTTACTTGATTACATAATAAATTTAAAATCCTACTTGTGAAATATTGGGAATGTATAAGCTAACTCGTATAATAAATTTAAAATCCTACTCGTGAAATATTTTTTTCCACAACTATGTATAAAATACTAACCCATATATAATTGGAGACAAGCTTGGTTATCATATTTTGAAATGTTTCACTTTGAGCTTATTTGTTGAGTTCACATTTGACCTATATTATTAAAGTTCAGGGGGAATAGTTATAGCCAAAAGTGCACAGATTCAAGAATCAAGAGGGCCGTCTTGGTCAAATAATTGTACTTTGACCAATCCACTGTCAAAGTTAAACAATATCAGCTCAACCTAGAGCCGCCGAAAGAGAAACTCAGCGGAAAATAAATAACCTATCATGCATCCATGCACCCGTGGCTCCCCACTAAAACATTAATAAACACAAAAAACAAAAATATAAACAATTTATCTTGAACTTAATTGATAAATAAATAAATAAATAAAACCATATTTTTAAGTATTTAGTTTTTTAATCAAAATAAATAATTAATATTTTTATTTTGTAATTATTTTAAGATCGTCTTGTTATATCTGTTAAAATAATATTATTCTATGTCACATGACAAGTGACAATATATGAAATTAACTTTTTTTAAATTAAAAATAAAGAATAAAATTTATTTTAATTAAAAAATTAATTAAAAAATCTTCTTCTTAAAAAAAACTATCATTCTACGTCGTTGTTCAGCTTCACTAGGGGCATTTATTGAGCGAGTCGATTGTGAGTTGGGCGGTGCTTTACTCGTGTTCGTTAAAAAATTTTGTTACTTGACTCGTTACTCGTTAAACTCGTTAAAATTTTGCTCGACTCATACTTGTTAAAAAACTTGTTGCTCGCTAAGCTCGATGCCTATCGCTTATTAAGCTCACCAAAATTTTTACCTTATTTTCTTAACTATAAGTAAAATCTACTAATACTATATACCGCTAAATATAAACATAATTTAAAAAATTTAATCAAAAAAATTATTAAGAGAATGTATGAAGCAATTTTAAAGTCTAAATTCTAAAGTAACAATCTATAAATACATTAAATAATAAATGATTTGATTTTGAGTGTAGTAAAATATTAAATATTAAATTAATATTTTTTATTGGTTTATTAGAAAATTAGTAGATTAGCATTTTGTCATTTCTTACTATCCGTTAGTAAATTAGTAATTTTTTTTAATGAAATAATTTTTTAAGATAACTATTAAAAAATTATATAAGAAATTAACGAACTATTCGCGAATTTATCAAGTTGAGTTGAACTTTATTCGACTCAACTTGTTAAGATCTTAAGTCGAGTTTAAATTCAAAACCAATATACCAAATCAAATTTTAACCAAATTAAATTCAAACTACTCACAAATTACTCAACTCATCAAACAACCCTGTTCCCCTTCTATAATCCAATCGACTACCTTTCTCGACAAAGAAAATCCCAAAAACACAAATTATGATCTAAAATCCAAAATCCAAAATTATTTTGTCCTATGCCATTATTCTTTCGATGGGCCCTTCATTGGAACTATAACTTATCCTCATTGAAACACTTCTCACTGTGCGTCAAAAATGACCCACAGCTTTATCCTCGTGTGGCGCTATGTGAAGGCCAAAGACTGACCCCTTTTGAACGACCACACAATCAATGTCATATATAAAACGATATCCATATCATTAATTTGCTCGCCAACAAAGTTTCAAATTCGGCAAGTTAAACACCTACTTCTCAGTTCATTAACATGATGGAAGCATCTCAAGCAGGGAAGAGGACGGTGAACGGTGTGGGAGTTCGATACAGGGGGGTTCGCCGGCGGCCATGGGGAAAATTTGCGGTGGAGATACGTGACCCGACGAGGAACGGAGCGCGGTTATGTCTCGGAACGTTTGAGACGGCTGAAGAGGCGGCTAGGGCTTACGATAGGGCAGCTTTCAGGTTCCGAGGTCACTCGGCTATTCTCACTTCCCCAACGAGTTCCGATGTGATCAGGATCCCCGCGTTTTCATTGTCTTTAGCATCTTCTTCGTCTTCTTATAATTCAGCTGGCATGGCAAACCACCAGAGAGGACGAGGAAGCGAAGTTATAGAATTTGAGTACTTGGATAACAGTTGTTAGAGGATCTTCTTGAAACAGGAGAAATGAAGACCTGTAGAACAAATAATGTTTTGAGTTGAAGTTTATAATTGTATTGGATTAATTAACCAATGAAAGAATAATGTGCGAGCTATTTCATTGTAAGCAAATTAGTTTGCTTGTTTAAAAATTTCCATTATTTTTTAAAAACCAAAACAAAACAAACTATCGGTTCTATATTTAAACATATGGATCTACGTTGATATATCTTGTGACAGACAGTTAATTTTATACTGTAGATGTTAACTTAAGAATTTATATTAAAAATTAAACGATATTAATTTATAAAATTTCAAGAAGTATAAAATTAAATTATCAATAAAAATGCAAATATATAAACTAAAATTAAAATTGAAATGTCTAAGGAGTGCGACTGGAGCCCAAAATCCCTCCATTTATCTATATATTTTATGTTTGCATTAACGGGAGTGAGGTTAGCTATGAGGTCACATTACGTTAGCTTAATCCAACGTCATCTCAAAAACTTCTATGGATATTAGATATAAATAAAATTGTCATGGTTTTCGTATAGGGAGATGAAGTAATTTGATGGCGTCAACATGTTTGATCACCATCATGGTTATGTCACTTGATGAGGTCCATGCTAAATAATCAAAGTTCTCAACAATATGTGATGTAGACCCCTAAAAAGATACGAAGATGGTAGGGTTTAAAAAGAAACACAATTTGATTTTAGAGGTCGGAAATAATTAATCTACTAAGATGTATTTAGTTCATAAAATATAAGATCATGGTTTGAAAATCATATTAAGAAATAAGATTACATGAATCTTATATTACAGCACTTAATTAATTCGAATGGGATATAAGACTACGATGTTTTTTGAAGTAATGATATATTATGTAAAATATATTTTATTAATATTCCTTATTACAGAATTTGCTTTCAAAAAATAAACTAATATCATGTCCCAGGCCTAAGACCTTCTTCACTTGATATTTCTGCCCATTATTCATCCAGTTTTCAAGTTACAATGGAGTGAAAGATGTATTAAAGACCTCGTCTTCAAAATCTTCTGCCAAAACCAACAACATGCCAAGTTGATTTTACAAAAAAATGAGAAGAATACCCATGGAGCCTTGGTGCTTTTTCCCATCCTTGATTGCTTGCATATCAGCAGTTCAACTCCACTGATCCTCATGAGAGACTACCCTGCAAAAGCTATTGTAGCATCTCTAATGGTGGAACAACTTCATTGTCAGAAGTACCCAAATACTTTGAAAATAACCTACAACTTCCTCAGCAATTGGGATAAATTTGTTTGAATAAACAATATATTTCATTATGCCAACTATGAAGTAGATTATTAATATAATTTAGGGCATTTTTTAACCCGGTTCATTAAGTTGAAAATAAAAAAAAACTCTATTCAAATGTCAATGTACTGGATAATAATCTAATATATAGCCTTTTAAGATGTCGATGAACTTGAAATAACCGAAACACCCGTATATTAGTACATATCCAGTACCATATTGCACTAGAAATCTTTAAATGCAATCTTTCTACCACGAGAGCTATTCCACACTCCAAGTTCAACGAACATGGCAGCTCCTCCACATTGTTTTCCGTTGACCTGGAATTGAGAAAGTTTGGTGGGCAAGAATAAAAGCAAAGAAACTGGTTTAGAAATAATAACACCTTGCCAACAATATGGCCGTGGGCCGATACTGAAATTTCCCTGCACATCACATGCAATGCATCTACACATCTAGGTGTGACCTAAACTCTTAAACAAAGACATGGCATGGTAATCTTCGCAGTTATGTTATCTTAGTATTTTGTTTCGGACACATACTCGTATTTGACAATAATCCAAATCCAAATAACAGAACATAGTTGACAGAAATGCTGCTAGAATAATATACAAGAGGCAAAGTTCAACCAAGATCATATATCCAACCAGATTGTCACATTACTATTTCTCCAAAGCTTTAACAACGTACTTATTTCTGACAACATATGAAAGTGAAAGGTGACTTACCTTACTAGTTCCAAGTTGGACCGGGTATCAAATATCTGTGAAGTTTTACATAAATACATATTGTGATCTCAGCTTTAACAATAACATGAAAAATGTAAAACAAAGCGAGAAAGAAACAGCACAACAATCAGATATCAAATTAAAATATGATCAATTTATTAAATATTAATAACTTGCTTCAAATTAATTAATTAAAGAAACTATTTATTTGAATAATAGATCTAGCAAAAATATGGACTTAAATGATTAAATGGTAAAAACATAAACTCAAAAGGCTTTTAAATGGCATAAATAATAAAAACAGAAACTTAAGTGACTAAAATAAAATACAGAAACTAAAGTGTCAAAATCAATAAAGCATATATATTCATATGCTAGAATGAAAAACACACATAAAAGTTCAGGGATTAAACATAAATTATACTAAAAATACATAACATGTGTCATAAATGATTCACCGGCCATTCTGCGCTGCCGTGCCACCGTCCGATTGTCCTGAAATTTCAGTATGTTGTTCGTATTGACCTCGCACAACTTTTGACAGTTCGGAATGTTGATCGGAGATCCCGATCGCCTGCAAGAGGCCAAAAATCTTTCGGATTTGTTTTCTTCGATTCACCACCGTCCACCGTCCGATCGTCCTGAAATTTCAGTATGTTGTTTGTGTTGACATGACATAACTTTTCACTGTTTGGAATATTGATTGGGGATTCCGATCGCTGGCAAAAGGTCAAAAATCGTTTAGTTTATTTTCTTCGATCTGCCGTCGTCCACCGTCCGAACGTCTTGAATTTTCAGTATGTTGTTTGTGCTGGTCTCGTGCAACTTTTGACCGTTCGGAATATTGATCGGAGATTCCGATCACCGACGAAAATCCGACAAAATCACTAAAGCTTTTTTTCCTTTTCTCTCTCCCGTATCTGGCTTCCCACGTTTTGTTCTCCTGGTGGCCGGATGATGTAATCGGTGTAACCGGTTTCGGTTTGAAAAAAACCAGTTTTTTAAAAAAACCGGTTTTTAATCCGGTAAAAAATCCGGTCATCTAATTTTTTAAACCCCAAACCGGATTTTTAAACCCTAGACCGGATTTTTTTCTGGATAAAAAACTAATTTTTTATCCGGTTTTTTTCAAACCGATTTTTAATCCGGTAAAAAATCCGGTCGTCCAATTTTTTCTCAAACCAGTTATACAATCCGGTTTTAAAATATCCGATCCGATTTAAAAAAACTGGTTTTTTCCAAATCCGGTTTTGGATATTTTTTGCACAAAATCAGATATTCGGATTTTTTGTGCACCTCTAGTAAAGGGTAGTGGTAGAGTCAAGTTTGATTTTTATATTGTTTTAGTGGTTTAAGTGGGATTTGGTTGGGTATTAATTTATTTAGTGATTTAGGTACGTAATAATTAATAATAATAATAATATAACTAATAATAATAATAATAGTAATAATAATATTTAATAATATTTTTTTTATCTGGACAAAAACGGGTGTGTACTGTTAGGTTTCCACATCCTAATTATGTGATATGATGACATCTTTTTATAGCATCACTTTAATAACAATAACGATGCCATCGGTTTAAGTCTAATATTAAGGGCTAAAGAAGTGAAAAACGTTTAGGGATTAAAATGACATCTTTTGAAAAGTTTGACTGCAAAAAATGGCATTATGCCTAAAGAAAATGTACCAAACTTCAGCCTATCTATTTCAAATTTCCACAAGAGAATGAATTCTTCAAGTTGATCTTCAATCAGTTGTTGATCTATTATGCATGAGAATGAATCCCAACTTGGAAAATGCTAGAAAACTTTCAGTAACAGGGGGGATGTGGTTGCAGATTCAATATACTTGGGATTTGCATCATAATTTCCATCAATCAAGCTTGGGTTCTAAAACGCTCCATAACCAGATCATTGTTGTCGAAGTTGGGGAAGAAGTGAAGCGGGAATTCTTTGAATTCAAAAGCTCTATAAACTGCTGCGGGCTCTATAATGCTATCATCAGAAGGGGCAATGACGAAGCCGACGTTCAAGCAACCTTCGAGTTCGTCACAACCAGATGTTCCACACTCTTCAGCTCTGCTGCTGCTGATGATGACGGTGTAGATACTGAGGTTGGGGAACAACGAAAGACGGAACACCGAAGCTCGAGGAATCGAGGGCGAATCCGATGGTTCCTCGAGGCATCATTGGACACGGATGCATATGCTGGCCTTCGTACGTCGTCACGACTGTGGTGGATCGTCGGACGATCTCTCAACTCTCTTCTTTACCCCACACCCTGCAGTAGTGCAACGATAATAGCTCCTGGTTTTTTTTCCAATCATATATTAAATTACCACAATTAAACCAGGGAACAGATTCAAAAAACAATATAATAATTAAACCAAAAGCTGATTCATAGATTTTAGATTAGATTTCAATATATATACACCTGGGATAAGGGCTGTTCTTCACAGCTTTTTGACCATACTTTCTCCATCTATAGCCATCATCTAAGTGATCGATTTCACTTTTGGTCATGAAAGCAAATCTCGGTTCCCTCTGCTTCTTTTGATTCTTCTTTTTAGGTTTCAACCTAAACCCATTCCTGTGCGGTATCCTTGGATCTTTCGTCCGATTGCTGTTGTGCCTCAGAATTCTGGTTTGATTGGTGATTATCATCCCTAGTGCAAAGGGAAAACCACCTCGCACAAGCTTCCATGCTTTCAGGACTGTGAGCTCCATCCAAATAAAAAACCAGATTTTCAATGTCAGGAAATTGATCACGGACAATCTGAGCCCGCCCTTGCAAACTAGCTGTTGTTAAGCCCTTAATAAAGGGTTCAGGTAATGGACCCTATTCCAAGGAAATAAACAACTTCTAAGAAAACAGTAGTTAGAATGCAGACAAACTGTTTGATTGAAATTGGTGATAGGATAATGTATGCAATTCAACCATTCAAAATTCAATCAGTAAAACTATGGATCGAAA